AGCCACATCCGTCGCACGAGACTGTTATCCTGGAGTCTAACGCAAACACGCCGAGATGCAGGTGAAGGAGATTCGGGAACCTGGATTTTGGTGGAGCGAGGAGGGAGGCGAAAGCTTGTGAGGAGAAGAAGCGGTTTCAAGGCACGATGATGGTGGGATGCACGGAGCTAGCGATGCGCAGCCATCGCTTGGAGACGAGAGCGTGGCTGAACGTGACTAGGGAACAAGTCTCAGAAGGAGGAACCTTAGTCGTGCCCAACCGCTGGCTCTCGCGCGGCGGCTTCCGCAACGCATCCTTGATTTTCTTCTCAAGAATGTCCTCGTTATTAGCAAGAGAATCACTGCTGTCAAAATTGTTGCCGTTAGATGCAACAACTGAAGGATCACACCCAGCAGGTCGTCAGAAATGCGGGAAAATATATCACCATTCAATTCTGCTGCTACACTGCAAACGGTTGGCTTCCTGCCTGAACAAAAGGCTACTGGGATGTCTCCGCTGGTGTTTCTTCATGTTCTCCTCCGATGCTAGCCGAGAAGCAGGCAACATGAGAGATTCTATGTTGTGAGAGCTGCTGCTTGTGAGTTTGTGAGAGCTGCTGCTTGTGCTTGAGTTTGTGATGCTTCATTTTCCGAAATCGCTGAAAGTTTGGACGGTGGTCCGGACGCGTGCGAAGATTGCGACGTCGCACGGTTGCGTTGCGACCAATGCGATGTCGTAAGGAAGCAATACGAAGCATGCGACGTCGTCTAGACCCTGGCGAACTCGCTGTCGATATGTAACGATTTCCGTAACCACACAATCGACCGGACGGTTGGCCGTCCGGACGAAAAATATGAAAAATGTTACACGCCCTAAGTGCTTGTGAGAGCTGCTGTGCAAGGAATTTTCCCAAATTCCTTATCGGGCTGGACTGCTACGCGTACAACCCCGATTTTCGGACTTCGCACGTTCGGCCGACATCCACGATGCCGAGGCTCCTCGCGTCGCCTTCGGTCTTCCGATCGCCAAACCTGCACCCAACCTCGTTTCCCGAGGTTCCCTCCTAGCTAGGGTAGTCACAATATTAGTGCGTGCCTTCATTGTATTGTCAGCTTATTGAGTCACATCTTCGTTCTTCGTTATTCTGCGCACTCCAGGACCCAAAATTGGTTTTGGCCCACCATGACTAATCAGGATTTCTGGTCAGCTTTACCCTGACTCAGAGTAAAAATTTCCATACCCTGCCAAAAACAGCCTAAAAAAACTTGTACACTGATTACGACAATGTAAAAATGTTTATACTGTTGGTGCAACCTACGGTTTGCACTCGGCTTGTTGTCCGTATGCGTGCATGTGTGTGCATGGAATGGTATGAGGGCATGAGATAATATATATTTCATGCTTATAATAGTGTGTGCATGATGAGTCATGATGTCGAGTGTGTGTGTGTCGAGTCAATAGCGAGTTATCGCTAGTCGCGTGTTACGCGATCATTTGTGTGTCCCGCGCGGTTTCTATTTTGTCGTGTGTCTCGTGTGCGGTTTCTATTTTGTCCTATGTCGAACGTTCGGCGTGTCGCAGGTGTGTGCAGCAGATCCATCAAGAACTCAAGGATGAGTTTGTGATGAAGAACCCGAGCCTTGGTGTCAAGCCTCAAGTGATTTCGAAGCTCGCCAAAAGGGTACACTTCAAGAGGTTGAAGATAGTTACATTACAATGTGTAGTGTAACATTTCTGTTGGTGTAGACCCTTGTGGAGGGTAGTTTCGAGACCCTTCTTGGTTGGGGACAGTGTGGCACTGTTCCACATCACTGTACCTCGGCTCTTGGGGTTTGTAGGAGCTGGGAGTCATTCCCAACTCGTAACTCTTCCTAAGTTGTGTTCTAAGACTATAGTGGCTGCCATAGTGCCGTTCGTTCAAACCGACGTTGTGTCGTCAATACTTGGTGACATCGTGCGATCTAAATTGCCTATTGTAGGCAACGTTAAAGCGACGGTGCACATTTGCCACCCAAAACCCAGAACCCTGGCGAACTGTTACTGCGGATGGAAAGTGTCCGCACGAAATCCTGGTTTTCGCCAGCCATCACTTTCGCGCTGGCAAGCCTGGTTCAAAAAAAAAACTTCTGAACCCAACACTGCCAAAAGTTGCCCGTCGCTTTAAGACGCTCTAGATCCAAGTTGGATCAGGTCATTTGAAGCTGTGACCAGAACGCTATGAATGTTTAAAGCCGCTGTGCCGAAATCCGACTGTGCACTCTATCTTTCGTTTTTTGCACATTGAAGCCTACTGTGTCAATAACATATACCCTAAGTGAATAATGTGTCAATAATAGCCAATAATGTGTTACAGTTGTAGCCAATAATGTGTCTCAGCTGGCGGGTTCGAATCCGGGGGGCGTCGGCGACGTTTTGCGAATTCGCAAGGAAAATCCTTGCTACATAGGATTCGGTATTAGTGTAATGTATAGCGCACCCTGATACAGGCAGGGTAACCGAAATCGTTATCAGTGTAAATCAAAACTTAGCCTCTTTGCTCTAGGGTAAAAAAATTGATACCCTGTTTTTGCAAGGGTAACTGGGAAAAAGCGGCCGCCCATCAGGGCAAAAAGGGTATTGTACCGTGATAATCTGGGCCGTGGCGCACTCTCTTTTACAACTCATTACATCAGGGCTGTCGATTGCTATGGGGCCAGAACTTGGAAGGCTGAGCTGCTCCAAAATCTGCCCTTGAATTTACGTTTTGGGGCCAAACTCAACACTTGAAATCAGGGCTACAAAGTGTTAAGCACTTTTGCTAAGACGAGAGATCACCCTGGATTTGCACTGCCCATCCGACTTGATTCTCTACGCGCCTGGCATATCACTCATTGAAACCACTTAGCGGAAAGAATCGGTAACAACGCCTAATTTATAAGGGTGAAGTACTGGAGCCTCTCCAGTACTTGTGTGTAGCCCTTCACCCATATCAAGCACTAAGTATTCTCTGGCCGTCTGTTGCGTTCCCATTATCCTTTTTGCGACCAAAGGCAAAATCGTGAGGCTGTTCGCGGACAGAAAACAGAAGGGCTGAAATTCTACGAGGAAACCTTCGGTTTGTACTTATAGAAACTACAGGAGGTTCTGACTTGCAGTTCATGTTCTGACTTCGGAAAGAACCACTTCAGGTCGAAACCTCTAAAGTTTACAGAGTATATCGAAACTGGGTGTGGGTAAGTTATCTGCATCTGGAACTTGGATGACGAGAAATGGGATGGGTGGGGAGAGGGGAAGTGAGGGGAGGAATCAGTTCAGAGGGGAGGGCTAGCCCCAAGACTGATACTTGAAATCCGGGTTAGTCCCGAGCACAACACTTAAATTCGGGGACCTAGGCCAAACTCAACCCTTAATGTTCAGGGCATTAAGTGCATTTGCCCTTGTAGCGACAGCCCTGCATAACGTGCTGCTTGTGAGTTCGTGAGTCCGTCTGCTTGTGCTTGCACATCCCTGAACCACCACCCCGTCACCCAGCCCGACTATGTTGCAAACACATCACACAGGCCGTAATGGCCAGGACTGCTTAGAGTTTAGCTTACCTCGCCTAAAGTCACGGAAGAGTCCAACCAAGTGCAGATTATGCAGGTTTTCCTCGCTCGACCCCTCCAGACTCGCGGTAAGTTTCGCTCGACTAAGCCCCTTGTTTGTGTTTGTTCTGGGTGTTTACCTCTGTCTGACACGCAACCACACGGTACCCCCAACTAGCCACCCGCTGTTCTTACAACTAACAGATGCAGACACTTCCGTCCTATGCAAGCAACTTGGCCACCCTCCGCCAACCCCAAGAAAAGTCATACAACGCAAACAACGAAACCTCTTCTCATTATTCCTCCAAGCTGTGTTGGCGACAGCCCTCGCCACTTGGCCCACCCTTCCTGTTCACGCTCGAACAACAACTCCCTGCCCAGAAACGTCTCGTAACGCCCCTTGCCAAGAATTATGACTGGCTACCGCAACCTTTTCGAAAGAACGGTACGTTTTCTCCGTCTCCTACCCTCCTCTCCTTCCCGTCTTTTCACCCCATCATGAAGCACCTGTTTAAACAACTTTTTAAACATCGCCCCTGCCGTAAATGTCGGTACCATTTGTATATACCCTGGCCTTCCCTATGGGACCACAAGTTTCTCCCTTCCAGGAGCAATGCTACCTCAATTATTGCTACACGCCGGAAACATGTGCGTTGGCAGCCTAGCTGGAGCAGTAATGCTGCTCTGCCACCCTTCTTCCAAAACGCATGCTGTCAACTCCCCCTGGGTAAGAATAGCTGCCATCCCTCTCACTTTCCACTAGCCACATGCCACCACCGCAACACCGGGCTTCCCCTCCACATGCTTCCGCCCTCAAGGTACGTTGAATCACACGCGCTGCCCTGGTCCCCGTCCACAGCCACCGCTCCTTAAAGTTTCTCTGACACGCCTCTGTGTCCACCCAGAGAACTCATATCCAGCTCACACTCCCCCCGCATGCCCCGAGGTCTGTTTCTCAACATTTCATCTCTCAAACACACAACCTCCAACCCCTCTTGTTACACCGAGCTCTCCTCAACGCCTCACCCCCATGCCGTGCTTTCGAGCCGACATGGCGCCCAGACTTGGAAAGCCGATCAGGCTGCCGGTCACCCTTTCGGATTAGCTGTGGCCAACGCCTATGCTTCCGCCCTGCAATATTTACCCACGCCTCCCGTTTCTCTCGACACTCCCCATATCCCCTATATTTCGAGGCACCGCCTCGCGCCCGCGGGAACACCCACGTGGACCGGATGGCCAACTGCTCCCCCACCCTTTCGCGACTTCTGCAGACCACGGCTCCTACACCCACTGGTACACCGCCTTTCTCAGCCCCGTGCCGCTCTTTCCTCCCTCGGCCTTGGTGCTCGGCTGAGTGCTCTCGTACGAATATATTTATCACCCTCCATCCTCGTCTCTCAGCACTCACTCTTTCATTGACTCTCGCTGCTTTCGTTCTCCCTCTCTTGTCTCGCGATATGGCGGATATCCCTAAGTTCGACAAAGATATGGAACTCACCGACGACATGCTCGAAGGGATGGACCTACCGGATGATCCCTCTGGATCCAACCTGCCCCGAACCCGATTGCCCACGGTACTATCCATCTCCAAGAAGCCATGTGTCGAAACCGGCTCTGACGTCCCTCCTCACGAACTGCCCGCTGCCACCTCGGACGTCACGGAAGGACCCGTGAACATGTCGGGTACGTCCGCGGAGCACAACACCAACACGGGCTGCTTCTTCGCTGCTGCCTCTGATGCCGCACCGAGCGACTCCGCACCCTCCGTCCATGCTCCACCCACCACTGCTCCAAGCTCCTCAGCCCCGGCCGCGCCTAACACGACTGCTGAAACTACCGATCCGGAGAACCAGCTGGTGGACCGAACCTCCGGGCCTGCGCCCCTCCGCCCCCTCCACCAGCCTCCCCTCGCTCTGCCCCCCCACCCCACCCCACCCCCCCCCCCCCCCCCCCCCCCCCCCCCCCCACCCCCCCCCCCCCCCCCCCCGCCCTCCCGATGAGCAGCCGCACGGTGGTTATGCTGCTCTTCCCCGAGCCAGGCGCTGACGCCATCCGCCCCACTTTGATCTCCAAGATCTTCGCCAAACTGACCCCCTCCCTCTTTGACTGTGGCTATGTCCCTGAAGCCCGCACTACCAACGGCGACACCCTTCGCTTCGCCGGTCGGGTCTATGCGTCGATCTGCTACTCCTGGCCGACTAGGCAGTCTGCCAACGAGTTCCTCCCCGTCTTCGGGAACCCCAGTGAAATCTCCCCCGGTCGCTCCATCACTGTCAAGCCTTACATCGACCCCTACCCCGATGTCACTGAGGCTAAGGCGAACGGCGCCACCATAGTCTCCCTGCGCAGGGTCCCGGCCCGTTTCGAGGAATCGGACCTCCTTACGTACCTGGTGCCGCGCTGGCTTGCGGGTATCAACTCCTTCCATCGCATGCAAGACCCCTACGCGGGGGTCTTCCTCCCCATCCTCACCGGCATCCCCATCCCGCTGCCGGAAGACCCGGGCTTCCTCACCATCCCGGCCCTGATCCCCACCGGCGGCAACACCCGGGACATTCTCGTGAATGTCTCCTCCCACGAATGCTCTATCTGTGCGAGCAACCACCGGGTGGAGGACCATGCGATCTTCCCCTGTAAGTGCAAGGGACACATCAACAACAAGGCGCAGCTCACCATTGCCCAGCTGTAGAAGGCGAATGGTAAAAGCCCTCGCCCTACCCCCTTCCACCCCGCCCTCGCCCCCTTTTCGCCTCCCTTTATTCTACTGCCTTGTTGCTTGTTCAGTTAAAGCACGCCTCCTTTCCGTCAGAATCCCCAAGTTGTTGCCTCTGCCCCCCCCCCCCCCCCCCCTCCCCTCTCATACTCCTTCCCTCTGTATCGCTTTACCCGCGCTTCCGCCTTCCTCCTCCCCCCCCTTAATCCGCTCCCCAGGAGGCGCTCGTGGAGCCTGAGCCGCACCCATCTCCTTCCGTGCCGACCCCGGTCTCCTCTTCATCGGCACGGATGCAGATGTCGAACCATGGACCTGCGTGCTCTGCGACTTTGCATGCGGCCCGGTGCTGGACAGTGCTCTGGAACACATGACATCCGCACGGCACCGCTCCCAGCTGCTCGCCACTGCCAACGTGACCGCACCCAAGGAGACGTTCTACACCTGGAGTTTCTCCGCTTTCCAGAAGAAGGGGGATATCGAGGCCTTCCTCATGAGGATGCGGCTCATGTCTCGCGCATAACTGCCCGTTGCGTGCCGCACTTTCACTGTCCTTGCCTGCTAGGTTTGAGTTGTACACCTCACGAACTACTAATAAAACTCGACCTTGCCTGGAACTTGTCCGCAAGTGTTCCTTCACTAGCTTTCTCTCTAACACAAAAAAAACTTATAACCTATATTTAAACCTGTTCACATTTAGTGATTTAAGCACATGTTTGAAAGACATAACAGAACTTACCATGCTTAACTGCCCAAGACACCCTGCAGTCCCTTGGAGGCAAAGCCTACCCCCCCAACGAGCAAACAAGGCTGGCCCTGCAGCCTCACTGCCCCCACATGCAACCACGCCCTCATAGCTGTCATGTGCCGACAGCGACCGACACGAACGAACCCCCCTCCTTCCGGCAATACAGCTAGACGCTGTTGGAATGCCCTCCCAAACACCCTACCAGGATCATGCAAGTACATCTCCCCTCTCCCCCCCCCCCCCCCCCCGTCTCCGCCCCGTCCAGCCTACAGTAGCTATGTCATATAAATCTGACACACCCCCATAGGCAAAGTGGGGGAGAACAAGGGGTCACAAGACCAGTCAAGCAAAGCAAAACAAGCTCAGGGTGGATCACAAAGTCACCACACATTCCGAGCACAAGTTCAAGGCCACAAGGCCAGTTCACATGCAGGATTGCATATATATATATATATAAGACTAGACAAGCAAGAGCAGGTGTATATATATATGCAACAGTACAAACAAGGTCAAGGGGTGAGCAAGTGAGGCAAGGTAGGCACAAGACCAAGCTGAGTACAGAAGCGCTGATGATCACAAGGCGCAAGTGCCTTGGTGAAGATATCAGCAGTGTTGGCCTGAGAGGCCACGTACGCAAGCCGCAGCTGACCACGCTGCTGTAGCTCACGAGCAAGGAAGTAGCGGAGAGCAATGTGCTTCGTTCTGTGCTCCAGTCTCTGCTCTCGACACAAGGCCAGCATGGCCTTGTTGTCTACGTACAGCACTGGAGGAGAACGAGGCGGCTCTCCGAGGTCAGTCAGCAGGTAGGTGAGCCAGCGAGGCTCCTGTGCAGCCATGGCCCCGGCATAGATCTCAGCCTCACAACTGGAGCCGAGAACAGAAGACGAGCGGGTAGCCCGCCACGAAACAGAGCCGGAACCAAGGCTGAAGGTGTAACCCTGTGACGACCGCTGCGTAGCCTGGTCGTCAGCCCAAGAAGCGTCTGCGTGCCCAGTGAGGACCACTGGACTCTGCCCTCCAAGCACAAGCCCCATGCCCGACGTACTGCACAAGTAGCGCAACACCCTCTTCGCTGCAGCCATGTGCTCCGGTCTGTGTCTCCCAGGAGCAACATAGCGTGCAAGAATGCTAAGAGGGTACGCAAGGTCAGGTCGTGTGCAGGTCATCAGGTACATGAGGCAGCCAACAAGCTCTGGGTACGGGCCACTCGACTCTACGGACTCATCCGAAGGCAGAGCTGAGAGCGAGTGGCGAGTAGGCAGAGGAGTGGCCGAGGCGAGGAGTACGTGAAGCCGAAGCGCTGAAGGACCTGCTGCACCATGTGTGACTGAGTCAGGGTAATGGTGCGGCGTGCTCTGTCCCGGGTGATCTGCAAGCCAAGGTAGCTGCGCAGTTCACCCAGGTCTGTGCACGTGTGTCTCTTCTGCAGCTCGGACTTCACGTGGGTGAGTCCAGCAGTGTCAGCTGTGGCGAAGACCAAGTCGTCGACGTACACGAGGATGTAGAACGGCGGCAAAGAAGTGTCGGTGCGCAGAAACAGCGACGGGTCGGCAGTAGAGGGAGCAAACCCAAGAGCCGCAAGTGTAGTCCTCAGTGTGTCGTGCCACTCACGCGGTGCCTGGCGGAGACCGTAGACTGGCCGCCGGAGGCTCCACTGGGTGCCAGGAGGAAAAGACCCAGTGAAGCCAGGTGGGCGACGCAGCCAGATCTCCTCGTGCAGGCTGCCCTGCAAGAAAGCAGTGCTGAAGTCAAGAGAGTGCAGCTCGTAGTCGCGGTGAGCAGCTATGTGCAGCAGTACCCGAAGAGTGGTCATCTTCGGGGTGGGAGAGAAGGTCTGAAAGTAGTCAACTCCCTGCCGCTGACTGAAGCCACGATCCACGTAACGCGCCTTGAAGACAGGCGGAGAACCCGGCGGCCGCTTCACCCTGAAAATCCACATGCCACTGACGATGTTCGCCCCAGGCGGGGGAACCTCGTCGACGTAGGTGCCTGTGGACTTCCAGGAAGCCATCTCTGCGTCCATAGCTGCCTACCACTGAGAGGAGTAGGGACCCTCTATCGCCTCCGCGTAAGAGCGCGGAGTCGGGATGTCAAGTGCATCCGGGTCTCCCTCAGGGGTAAGCAGTACGGACACGAGATGAGGTGAAGCAGCAGCCAAACACTGGAACTCCTCCTGCCTGTCCTCAAGGACGTCCGTGCCAAGGGCACACTCACCCCCGACGGACTGAGGACAGACAAACTCAGACTCAGCAACAAGACTAGCAGCGTAGTCTAGACGACAGCGAGCAGCAAAGTCGACGAGCTCAGTAACTAGGGCAGACGCAGCAGTGGACTCAAAGGAAGGGTCAGTGACAACAGTAGCAAGGAGACGCGTGACAGTAGGACTGGCAGCACGAAGAGAGTCCGACTCCGGGTCGGGAAGAGCAGGAAGAGAGGACTCAGGAGGAGAAGGCAAAGGGGCACGCAGAGGAGCAGTGGACGGACGCAGAGACATCCGGTGCGTGCCAGGGACAGGAGGAGGACGCTGACGCGAACCACGACCACTAGTGCGAGCAGCACGGACAGGCGACGCAGGGCGAGACGCTGGCTCACGACGCTCAGCAAGACCTCCAGTAGGACCAGTGTAGGGAGAAGGAGCAGGCAGTGAGGAGGCCGGCTGTAACTGTAACTGTGACGGGACAGGCTGTGGACACTCTAAGGGAGGAGGAGGACCAGTAGAAGGCGGGAGACCAAGAACCTGCTGAAGGAGCGGAACGAAGTACGGCCGAGGCCGCGCGGCGACTCCAGACACAGCAGGGACAGCACCAGTACCCCCAGCGACAGCACCAGCGCCAGCAGCACCTCCAGCTCCAGTACCTCCAGCAGCACCAGTAGCACCCCCAGCAGGACCGCCTCCAGGACCGACAGCAGTAGCCTCAGCGCCAACACCCTCAGCAGCTCCAGCTCCAGTCGTACCCGCCGGCCTAGCAGCTCCAGTTATCCCAGTACGAGCACCTCCGGGACCCGCGGCACCAGCACCCTCAGCAGTCGAAGAACCTCCAGCTCCAGCAGCACGCCTCCAGCGCCGGGCAAACCACTCGCGCAGCTCCTGTGGAGAGAGTGGCTCCCGCCGAGACGAAGCACCCGGAGAACCTCCAGGCTCAGCACCTCCAGACGCCACACGAGCAGGCCCAGCTCCCTCAAGCTCCGCACCCCCAGGCTCAGCACCTCCAGGCGTAGCACCCCCAGGCTCAGCACCCCCAGGCTCAGGACCCCCAGTAGTAGCACCCTCAGGCTCAGCACCCCCAGGCGTAGCACCCACACGCTCAGCACCCCCAGAGTCAGCACCCCCAGGCTCAGCACCCTCAGCAGCACCAGAGTCACCAGTAACCTCGACAGGCTCGACTGCGTCTACCTGGGACACACCTGAAGGGGCAGGACCCTGAGGGGGGAGGGGGTCTACCGGGGGGGACCTGGCACAAGGAAGAGCGGTGGCGGGGGGAGGGACGGAGTGCGGTAGGGGAAGAGGCGGTAGTAGGGGACCGACTCGTCAAACGTGACGTCCTGGGAGGACAGAACACGGCGAGAGGTGGGGTGGTAGAACTGCCACCCTGGCGCGTCAGGGGGGAAGCCAAGGAAGACGCAAGGAGCAGCACGAGGGGACAGCTTGTCCGCAGACAAGTCGCGGACAAACGCCCGAGATCCCCAGACACGGAACGCAGACGCATCGCCAACCTTCCCCGTCCACAGCAAGGCTGGGGAGGTCTCCGGCATGGAGACCCTGGGGTGAAGGTTGATCTGATGCGCCGCGTACCGAACAGCAAACGGCCACAGAAAATGGGGGGCAGCCGCATGCATCATGGACGTACGGGCGACGTCCATGACCATGCCAATGCGGCGCTCAGCAATCCCATTTTGCTGTGGAGAGTCCGGAAGCGTGAAGGTCTGGCGGATGCCTCGTGCACGACAGTAGGCTCGCAGAAGGCCAGAGGAGAACTCTCCACCTCTGTCAGAGTGCAGACGCAGAACAGGAAAGTCCGAGCCGAAGCTCTGCCTGAGCTGGAGACGAGCTGCGCGGATCCAGTCGATCAACACCTCAGTGACATCACCCTTGCTGCGCAAGGGAAGACTGTGGTGTAACGCGAGTAGTCGTCAACCACCAGCAGGAAGTAGCGCTCGTGACCCTGTCCACGGACGCGGGCCGGGCCCCACACGTCCATGTGAAGTGTCTGCAGCGGGGCCTCTGTCGGAGGAAACTGAGAGGAGTGAGGGGCAGCCCGCTGCCGCCCCTCGACACAGGGGACGCAGGTAGGGCCAGGCCCCAGAGGAAGGGGAGGGAGGGACCGGGGAAGACCAGAGAAAAGGACACGGGAGGCCATGCCTCGGAGACGAAGCAGAGAGGGGTGACCAAGGCGGTGGTGCCAGAGGAGAGTCTCGTGAGACAGGAGGCGACACGAACAGGGGGCAGACTCAGGACCAGACCTGGACGCTGCAGCAAACACCTGACCTGACGCAGCTACCTGACCAGACGCAGTGACCGGAGGAGACGCATTGGTCAGTGTGTACAGGCTCGACCCCGGCGACGTGTAAACGTGGCCAGGTGTCGGCCTGTCCGAGCGTCCGTGCAGTGGGTCACCCGCTGACTCGCAGGAGTGAACTGGTGAACCCCCGCATCCTGTAGGTCAGCACCACTCACCAAGTTCGTAGAGAACGAGGGGAGGTAAAGACCAGACAGGGTGCCAGAGGGGGCCGCCGGACACGGGAGGACAGTGGAGAAGTGAGCAAGGACAGGACCC